GTGTTGGGGTGTGGCAAATGCTGACTGGGGTCCCTTCCCTTCTGTCTTAGGAGGGCTGAGCTCATGAGCCCCACTGGGTCCTGACCCCCTCTTGCCTGGTGATGGTGTGACTTGGGGTCCTCTGAGCCCTCTCAGTCCCTGGCCACAATATTTTTTGTCCCCTATTAACCTCCTCTGCCCACAGCTGTCCACCTGTCACCTCCATTCATACTGGGACTGTGGGGTGGGGGCAGCAACCTCAGAAGGCGGGCTTTAGTGCTGGCTGGGCCTGCAGCGCCTGGGGCAGGCCTATCTCAGCCCCACCGTCAGCCTGGCAGCACCAGGACCATGCCAGGGTCAGGCCTGGCTGGGTGCAGCGCAACTTGGGCAGCTGTGTGTATAACGACCTTTTCTCACCCCACCCCCACAGGTTCACAGAGACCCCTGGCCACTAGCCTCCCGGGTGCTCCTTCGCCTGACCCACCTCTTGGGGCTCCAGAGCTTCCCAACTTCATGGGCTCCTGGTCAGGGACCCTGTTAACAGAAGGCTGGGCCTGAGGGCTGCCTAGGTGGGAGGGTTTGCCTCAAGCCCACCCCCTGCCTCCCTCCAGGAAGCCAGCCCTCATCCTCCATGCTGGTCCCACTGGGAAGATCCCTGGTGGTCCTCATGCTCCTGGGAGAGGCAGCTGAGGATCCAGGCCCCCTCCCCCCACTGCAAGACTCCCATCTCGGAGTCTCCATCTAGCAGTGAAGAGCAGCCTAGGAATGAGCTCCCCATCCAGTGAGGCATGGGAGCTGGGGCAGGGGCCTCTTGAGTCACAGGGATCTGGGGAGCGGGGCGGGTGGTGCGAGAGACTGGATGCCCGCCCGCCTGCCCGGCCGCCCCGGGCCGACAGCTGCCATATGCTCTGCAGGAGCTGCCTGCGCCCTGTGGCCTGGGGGCCGCCTTCCTGGCCTGTCACACACGATTTTCTCTGCCTGAGTGGCAGGCAGTGGCGGGTGGGGGCAAGGGGCCCTCCTGGCCCAAACTCCAGCACCCCCCTGCACCCCAGCCCACACTGGTCTTAGAACCCAGGGTCTAGCTGGTGTGGGGCTCAGGTCTTCCATCCCACTGGCTCACTTGGCACCCACCCCCCTGCCCCTGTAGTGGCTGTCCTGGCCTGGGACCCTGAGAGGAGGCTGTGGGCAGGCACAAGGGGCCCACTCGGGGCCAGAGGGCAACCCAGCGCCCAGAGCTGTGTGGGGGGCAGGCTGCGCGGCCGCGGCTAATGTGTACGCTAAGTGCTTCTGACAGGCCACTCTGTGAGAAGGCAGCAGCCACCCGGCCGGTCGCTCAGGGCAGCCAGGCCACCTGGCAGAGTAGTGCGTGCAGGGGGACATGCTGGGGGTTGAGGCAGCACCTGAGCCACCCAGTCTGCTCCCTCACTGGGGTGGGGGTTATGACCCCCCACCGCCTCAGCTCAAGCCCCATTGTCCCAGGGCCCTGCCTGCCAGTCACACCCTGGGGGTCCCATTCTGCCGCCCACCATTCAGGTGGCCCGGGAGGCCTGTCCCACAGAGCCCGGGCTCTCTGCACACCGCACACCTGGCTGTCCTGGGGCCAGGGCCAGGGGCTGGGGGGATAGAAGCAGGGTGCGAGGTGGCGGCGGACACTGAACGGCTGCGAGATGTGTTGTGGCAGCTCCCCTCTGCCCGAGGCCTCCCCGGAGCCAACACTGCTGGTGGCTTTAATTGCTTTCACTTTCGATCGCTGCCCTGTGACAGGCCTCTTACACCGAGGAGCACCATGCCTCCTGTTCCCCCATGAGGAGTGTTAGACAGACTGCAGGGTCCCAGTTCAGGGGACACCTGTACCACAGGGTCCTCCCCACAGCCACTTGGGGCTGCCCGCTATCCAGGGAGCCCTGTCCAGAGTGACTACACGATGGTGACTCCCCCAACTTTCTGTGAGGCCAACACCCACCATTCCTGGGACGACCTTGCCCGGGGCTGGGGACAGACATGCAGACAAGGCATTGCTACAAAACAAAACATTTTATTTGGTCCTTCGGAGCCTGAGTCTGGGCCCAGCCCACGGGGACAAGCCCACACGGGCTGGGCTGACACTGATAAAATATCTTCTGTGTTGAGAGCCGCCATATTTACAGGGTTAAAAATATTCACAGCTCGGAGAAGAGGAGGCCATACAAAGGAGACCTGAAGGGGTGTGGCCCTTGGTCCCACGGAGGAAGGCCCCCAGCCCCACTGGGCAGTGAGGGGCCCTGAGAGTGGCGGCCCAGCAGCAAAC